TTATATCACTTCTCCAAAGTAGTAACATTTTTAAATTACGCAAATCCGCGACAGATTATGCATAAAACATACGCAATTTAGAAATCTGACACCACCAAACAAGGCCGCGCGACTTGTAGGCTGCCTACTTTTCTTCAAACGTACACATATAAATAACATATACATGTCCTTGTATGAATAATTAAAATGATGTGTGACAAGAAAACATTTAATATGAATTTGTACATTGATTGATCATTGAACGATTTAACTTCCTGCATTACATCTATATTAACAGGATTTAAGTCATCAGTCATAAATCTATTTATTAACTCGATCATCTCATCGTATATGATTATGACACATCTAGTCTAGTTAACATTACACAATTGCGTGTTTTGATATACAAAAATTCTTCGTATAGCTATAATCTTGTCCAATAACCACGTAACCGATAGAATTAAGTTTTTAGGTGTCGTGCCACTGGCTGGTTTAGACACATTTTTTTATATTTCCTGTGGTTGAATATCGACAATTAAGTACATCACTAGCGATCCCTAATTTCCAGGAAGAGCGTCGGGCTCGGGCGCCGGCTCCGGGCCGGATTCCACTGTCCGCTTTTCGACGCCGCTGTCTATGCTTTGTATCGAAACAAATAAATCTTCACATTAACGTAATATCTCTTAGTTTGCCTTCATATGTTTGAATTAACTCATATTTACCAACACAAAAGAGACGAATACATTTTTTTATTAATTTAATGTTACATAAAGCGGACAATGACGTCATTTTAGAGCATTTTTAAAGTTGTTAAACGTTTTAGTGTCTTGTTTTACTTTTAAAGTTTTTAATTTCTTGGAAGTCATAACCGTGGCAGTGGCATGGCACAATAAACGCGGTTTTAGTGTCAATTCTAAGGAATAAGATGAGTAAGTTTACTAATGTAAAAAGGGCATTGAGAAAGCCGTTTAAAATATATTTCTTAAAAAAAAATTATACGCTGAGATGAGACAATATAAGATATAAACTCACCTTTAGGCTTCACGTCGTCCATCACGTAGCGACTGTATGGTGGAGGGGGAGTTTCTGTAACAAAAACATTATATTGTAATTAAATATGAAAATACACAAATTATTTTATAAACTAGAAGGACAAAGACAACTAAAAATGCTAGTTTCAATAAGTTGTACGAGACTTCTAACTTTTTGAATTACAATTCAGTTTTAGACTATAAACAAATAATGTAGCAAATACTTTTTTGTAAAAAAATATCGACCATGTTCTGCGATTCCCGAAAGAAGTAATCAACAACCGCGTTACTCCCGCGGGTCTAAAAAACGAACAAGCCCTAAAACAAACATCACATAACCGGACCAGGTAAAATACCAAATAGCAATTAGGACCGCTGCACCGGACCGACAACCTATATTATCTGTATTTCGTCTTTTTATATAATTGTCGGGTTTCTAGCTAATCTGTGGCGGGAAATAGGCGTCTGTTACACATTTCAAAGACAAAATTGAGGTTATGTTATGATAATAATTGCGACGTTTTTGATTATACAACTACGTTTTTTGGTAGATCATTATGTGTCAAATTCCCAGTGTTATAACATATGTTTGTCATTTTAACGAATATACCATGTCGCGGAAACAATTTTCTCCTATAAGACTGGCAACATTTGTCATCTATCGAGTACCAAGTAGTAGGTAGTAAGTACCTTCATGACAGTACTGGCGGTCCAACATTCACATTCCGCGCGTACGAGTCGCGCCGAAAATGTTGTCGTTTGAATCCGGAACGCGCTCTATTCCATTTACGAATGAGCCGGCACGCGCTATTGGTCATTTCGAATGCCATCAATATTTTTGAATTCCGAATGCGGCGTGCATTTGCGATTCCGGCGCCGGCGGGGGCGGACGTGTGAAGTCGTTCCTCTTACTGTTCGACATTACGCGAATACAAATCGCGCCGCTCGTTGAATTCAATAAGATTTTATGACGTACCGCAGAAGTGTTTAACGGCACTTGCGCAAGAAATATCTAAACAATCGATGCATTCGCCTGCATACCAAAGAGTTCGACGATTTTGGCATTACAGACGCTGTAGTTAATAATAACGAAACTTGCGTTCAAAACCCTTTGTGTATTAAGCAAAAACAAAAGGCAATGTATTGTAATTAGTCTTAAAGCGAGAATAGTTTCACCACATACAAAACTGCATGCACTACTTAAGAATTACAAATGTCCTTTGCGGTAAGAATGTAGCCCGAAATGGGCGGTCAAATAACATTGTCGGAGTATTTAGAACAGCGTAACAATGATTCACACAGTACTGCATACCGTACGCAGAGACAGCTACTAAAAAACGAGCGAGCAATGAAAGTAAATGACCCTAAACGCCTAGCGCGCCATCTAGCTACTGCCAGATATAAATAATATCAGTTGTTGACTTCAGCGTGTGCCCTGCATAAAACTACAATCAAACAAATTTCTACCATACTGCCTAGAACATAGAACTTCTTTTCATTTAACCCTAAACATGCATACAACGTTATAACTCTGAAATAACTACATAAATATTATACGTATAAAGTGGCGTGACTGAAATTTCTTTCATAACTACTACGGCACATGTTACTCTTATAGTTAAAACAAAAAAATCCCTGTCGCAATCAAAATAAAGTGCAATTTACAATGCTAATTAGAGCTCTTACTTTGAACCGGTCAATGTGATATGAGTTATATGCGATCAGGAGACGGTTCATATTTCAACACGCGGCGTCGACCTTACACAATCTATCGATTAATTAAGAATGTTAATGCGTTGGAACTAGGGTATAAATTCAAATGACAGTGCTACTCGAGAACTCGAGAATAACCAAACTGACGTCCGAATAGTGAAACGAATCTTACAAGAAAGCTGGGAAAGTGCTAATTATTTGACAGACTTCAAAAATTTAATGGAGTTTGAGTATAAGCGTGTCGTCGTATTGTCGTTTCAGTATTCGACCATAAGTCAGGTTTCCGAAGTTTTGGCATAACTGCAAGGAAAGCTTTAACGGATATAAAAAAAATGTAATCAATGTCAAGTAGGATTTCAATGTGTCAAAGTTATAAAAAAGCTTACTTTAAGATACCAATAGTTACATAATTCGTAGTATACGATTACTTATCAAGCAAAGTAAACTTAGTTGTCGAAGCAGTATCGCGGAAGTCGATTCGTCATTATGTTAACAATTTTTTTACATGTAAGCATAAGTTGTTTCTATGCTGTAAATGCCACACAATTATTTCATTATAATAATGTATTACTAGCTATCGACTGCAACTCCGTCCGCGTGGAATTAAAAAATAAAACAGCCTATTTGTCTTCCAGTCTATCCTCTACCTACGTCTATGCCAAATTTCTTCGGAATCCGTTCAGCAGTTTAGGTTACAAACTCAAACAAACATCAAAACTTGCGTTTTTATATTAGATAGATAGCTATAATATGGGCTCGTAATTGTAGAATATTGTAGTGCTCTACAAATCTATAAAAGATTTACAAAAATAACTTCTTATAGAAAGTAGAAAGTTCTTTAAAACTATCATTTGTTTTTACAAAAGGCGTTAAATATCTCTGATAAAGATAGATATGTAGTATTTAAAACAAACTACGTAATCAACAAACAAGATCGAAGAAGATTCTAGAAGTTATATGTGATTTAATTACAGTATAGTTATTTGAAATAAAAAAATCTCTAATAATTTTAAGTAAACACTAGTTGATAATGCCACGATTGCGACGTTTTTATTAAAAAAAAAAACTACGATGTCCGCTCGCCTCTGGCGGTCGGAACGCGTGTGAATCGACCGAAATAGCGGACCGGCCGAATTATAGCGTCAGCCGGCGCCGGCGTCGGCCGCGGCGCCGCCCGGACGCCGCGCCGGGCCCACGCGGTACACGTCACACGCCCAATGTTGCATCCAACACCAACACAATGTGCCAACATGCCAACACAATACGAAAGAAAACATAGACACACCAGCCTTAAGGCATACTAAAAAAATTACAAGTAAATATTTTCTATAGTAATGTTTAAGACGTACAGTATTTCTCAAATACACCCGAGAAATACCGGACATGCACGTCATTAGTAATAAAACAACTAAGTTTCATTTAAATATAAATTAAAATGATATGATAAAAAATCCACTTTACATCATCGTAACGTCAATCAACAAGTAATTATTGTCATTTATCGAACGAAATGACCTTTGCCGTTATTATATGATAAGAGTAAGCAATAAAACTTAGTTTGTAACCTATGTGCTTGTCTATCAACTTAGTAACGAAGTGAAAGAAAAAAACGTAATGCTTTGGACAAATTGTTTGACAAACATCAGCCAATGTACCAACATATAGCACGCGGTTGATTCATTGCGATGAAACGGTGAATTGCTAAATGATGCCAATATACATAAAACAAAGCTCTATTTTGTACATTACATATTTTTCAAATTCCTATAAGACAAACAAAACATCAAGAAGACAACGAAACTAAGAAGTTTCAACCCGCTACACACGTCAAGATCTGAGCAATCGAAATCATCAACTGCCAGTTAAAATTTTGCCAACACGCACTAAAAACTGAACGTCTATCGCCGGCTTTAAAGACTAGATTGTCAAAACATTAGTAAACAAGACTAAAAAGTATGGAACACAAGATCATAAAATTACGATTTAAATACGTTAAGTAATAGATTTGTCCTATTGTAGTGAACGTTTTGTTGACGCTGTCATTTCTAGATGTCACATCACGTCAGAAGACGAGTACGGCGCATGATGGATGTTAGGCTGACCACGTCTCTGCCGTTCCTCTACGCTATATTTAAAGTAGGCGGGGATCGTATCGCCTATTGACACACCTCACTCGCTCACCAACTGAATATTCAACTAGCACCGTCTCACTCGCACGCCCTTTATGCTAACTACAGGAATTGTCTGGATATCGCCACAGACAAACAATCTAGACGACAATCAACTATAACATATTCATACAAACTCGAACTTCTGACTGAAAGTCGCGGAAATACTTCAAAAAAAAAAAAACAAAACAAATAATCAGTTCAACGATAAAACTACATTTAAAACATTACAAAAACAATTGAAAAGTCTTAAAAACACTAGAAATTGTTAGAATTTAATTTCCTACCCATTTCGTCATGTCATACCAACGTGTTAAAAGCTCATATAATGTTTGCTATACAAAATCAGACCTTAAGTGGGGATCGTATTATTTTCTTTGACTATGTATTTACAACATTGATAGACAGAGTGTGTGTGATGCGATCGGTCATTGAAATTGTAATTACGTGGCGATGCCGGTTCCGCCTGCCAGACCGCCCTCTCATTAAGTCTGATAACGAACGCCTAGACCAGGGGTCGCGAACCACTGGCACGCGTGCCATAAATGGCACACGAAATAATATTTTAGGCACACCATAAAAACACTACAAAAAATATGTATGTGCAACATGGAAATGACGTAATAATCGCCGTCTAAATTATTCAATAGCACGCCTAACCGCATTAAACATTTCGTTAAAAAATGGCACTCTGATGCACAAATGTTCGCCACCCCTGGCCTAGACATACGAATTTTGTTAAACGCTTATCGAAAACTGACGTTTATCAAGTCTTGCCTATTTTATAGAGCAAATAAAATTCCTTTTTAAGTCATAAAGGTTATTTATTGCGAACAATGCTTGTATCTTTTGAGATCTAAGTAAAATTTTCTATTTTTTGTCTGTTATGAATAATGTCAGTAATCACAGTATGTTTTTAAATAATTCTTGTATTGCAAAGTCTTACATTTACAACACGCTTTAGACCATATATTACGTTACTAAACTTGGGGGTTAGTAAATTGGATAAAATGCCTTTTGAGAAAGAGACAACAATACAAGCCAACATCACAATTATTATAGTTAAATACATCTACCAGTGGCCTTTCTTGCCATTTGTGTATTAATTTTGTGATTAGCAATTGAATATTTTACATAATGTAAACATTAAAATATTTTTTATAAAAACAACAAAAGTAAACTGACTGCTTGCCGGGGTTTTAAACGA